CTCAAGTGAGTCACGTTAAAAATAACACCACCATTCACCAAATACAATACCACCACAACCTAGAGTAGGCACAAAATGCCTCAAAATAGCACCACAAGCCCCAAATTTCTGGCCAAAAAGGTCCCACCACCAAGCTACACCGCAAAAATTATTTCTAGGCCTCCAAAACATCTAAACAACCCCCACAATCAAAGTAGAAGAAAGACCCAACCATTTTAGCCCCAAATAAATCCACAAGAAGCAAATACAACAATAATAAAAAAAAAGAGAAGAAGCAAAAATTGAAAGGAAATCTACACTATTCCTGCCTAGGGTTTAACTAAATAAGTTTAGATCAAATTTACACTAAGTTAGAAGATGAAATAGAGAGAGAGAGAGAGAGAAAAACTTACTTANGAGAGAGAGAAACTTACTTGTTTGATTGAGGGAAAATGGGTGGTGAAGGTGGAAAGTAGGGGAGGATGATAATGATGTTTTATGAAGATGAGAGGAGAAGAGAGAAGATAGAGAGAGGTTAGAGAGAAATTAGAGAGAAATGAGGGGGGGTTGGTGGTTCTGGGCGGGTGGGAGAGGGTTTAGTGGTAGGTGGGGGGGTATTTTGGGTAAAGGGGAAAAGAAAAAAATTAAAACAAAACAAAACAAAAAACTTACCTGGACCCCGTCTGCTCCTACCGCGGTCACGGTAGGACCGCGGTAGACCAAGTTCAGATGGCCCTCTTGACCGCGGTTTGACCGCGGTCACGGTGCAACCACGATGGCCTGGGTTCAGAGAAGGTTTGACCGCGGTCGCGGTGGAACCGCGGTCTGAGCCCATCTCTGATTCTGACGCCCTTTTTTTTAAGAAGAGTTACACTTACAACAATTTCATGGGTTGCCTCCCATGCAGCGCCTGATTTAACGTCGCGGCACGACCCAGATGAGTGCAGTTAAGGCTCGTTCGACCTCCGTGGTTCAGTCAACTGCAGTTCAGACCCTTCCTTGGGCTCGTTCATACCCACATACAACTTCAATCTCTGACCATTGACTTTAAATGTACGAGAGTCATTCTCAGTGGCAACGTCAATCGCTCCTGACTGGAAAATTTCAACTACTCGAAATGGTCCAGACCATCATGACTTCAGCTTACCCGGGAACAACCTCAGTCTTGAGTTGTATAGCAATACCATGTCGCCAGGTTTGAAATTTCTCTCAACAATGTTCTGATCGTGTAGCCTCTTCATTCTCTTTTTGTACAGCCTTGTCCTCTCAAAAGTAAGATACCTAAACTCCTCGAGCTCATGCAATTTTGTGACTCTTGACGTGACCGCAGCTTCCATATCTAAGTTTAGTTGTTTCAATGCCCACCACGCTTTATGCTCAAGTTCTACAGGTAGGTGACAGGCCTTCCCAAACACTAACTTGTATGGTGACATACCAACTGGTGTCTTGAAAGCTGTTCTGTAGGCCCAGAGTGCATCATCTAGCTTCCTTGCCCAATCAGTTCTTGTGGCGTTCACAGTTTTTCGTTAACACACTCTTGATTTCCCTGTTGGATACCTCAACCTGTCCACTAGTCTACGGGTGGTATAGAGTAGCCACCTTGTGGCGCACATCGTATTTTATAAGCAACTTCTCGAAGGCTCTATTGCAGAAGTGAGTGCCTCCGTCGCTGATAATCGCACGTGGTGTCCCAAAGCGGGTGAATATGTTCTTCTTTAGAAACCCCACCACTACTTTTGCATAATTGGTGGGCAATGCTATAGCTTCCACCCACTTGGACACATAGTCTACAGCAACAAGGATGTACTTATTGCCATAGGAGCTGACGAAGGGACCCATGAAATCAATCCCCCAGACGTCGAACACTTCTATCTCCTGAATTGGGTTCATGGGCATCTCGTGGCGCCGGGAAATGTTCCCGGTGCGTTGACATTCATTACAACCCTTCACCCATGAGTGAGCATCTTTAAACACAGTCGGCCAGAAAAATCCGGCTTCTAGCACCTTTGCTGCTGTCCTGATCCCTCCAAAGTGTCCACCATAAGTCGATGCATGACAAGCCTGCAAAATAGAAGATTGTTCTATCTCGGAGACGCATCTCCAGATCATGTTATCCAGGCATATTCGAAAGAGATAGGGCTCATCCCAATAGTACAAGCGGCTTTCACGAAAAAATTGTTTCCTCTGGACCGATGAAAGGTTGTGAGGAACTATACCACTGGCCAGGTAATTGGCCAAGTCTGCATACCATGGCGTTTCCTGATGAGTGGTGGCGAGCATTTGCTCGTCCGGAAAAGTTTCCATAATTTCCTCAATTTCAATTTCATTTTCAGCTCCCTCAAGTCGTGATAGGTGATCAGCGACTTGATTCTCAGTGCCCTTGCAGTCACGTATTTCAAGATCGAACTCTTGCAACAGCAACACCCAACGAATCAGGCGTGGCTTAGAGTCTTTGTTTTCTATTAAATACCTGAGGGTAGCATGGTCAGTGTAGACGATTACCTTTGATCCTATCAGGTAGGATCGGAACTTGTCGAATGGGAACACCACAACTAGCATCTCCTTTTCAGTCACCGTATAGTTCAACTGGGCTCCACTCAGCGTTCTGCTGGCATAGTATATTGGGTGCATCAATTTGTCCTTCCGCTGGCCCAGTACTGCCCCCACTGCGTAGTCACTAGCGTCACACATTAGTTCAAATGGCTGCTCCCAGTTGGGAGCAACAATGATGGGTGTTGTGACCAGCCTCTGCTTCAACTCCTCAAACGCTACCCTGCAATCATCAGAAAATACAAACGGGTGATCTTTCTCTAATAACTTACAGAGAGGTTTGGTGATTTTGAAGAAGTCTTTTATGAACCGTCGGTAGAAACCGGCATGTCCAAGAAAACTTCTGATTGCTTTGACCGAAGTTGGTGAAGGCAGCTTTGCTATTACATCAACCTTTGCTCGATCTACTTCTATTCCCTTGCTTGTCACCCGGTGCCCCAAGACTATGCCTTCTTGTACCATGAAATGGCACTTCTCCCAATTCAGCACCAGATTAGTCTAGATGCACCGTTTCAGCACACGCGTCAGATTCACCAGGCACTCATCAAATGAACTTCCCACCACTGAGAAGTCATCCATGAACACCTCCATTATATCCTCAACCATGTCAGTGAACATGGGCATCATGCACCGTTAGAATGTGGCGGGTGCATTGCATAGGCCAAAGGGCATCCTCCTAAAGGCATAAATGCCATAAGGGCATGTGAAGGAGGTCTTCT